CCCACAGTTCTTTTGAATTTTGTAACTTTGGCACATCTATAAATTGATTGGAACACGACGAATAATTTTGTAAAAATATTCACGACCAAGAAAAATTTCCCGGGATAATTTATGCCTGGTTGATAATCGGAAGGAAAATTTATCACCAAAATTGAAATTGAAAAGTTAAAAGTCTAAAATGAATATTTTATAGTCGAACTTTTGTCGAAATTGTGTAGTGTTTGAAAATATCTCGTTTCGATAAAGATCAGTCAGTAACTCGAAGAGAATTTCAAAATGACCTATTTAATAGTTAAAAATACTAAAAAAATCTAATTCTACAATAAAATACATATATCTAGAATAGAAAAACCTTTCACTTGAATTCTTGAATTATTGAAAATTATTATTATGCTCTCAGTATGAAGAGAAGTTGTGAAAATTTTAAGAAAGTGTAATTAAAACAATGTGGAACTCGATAGCAAAATGTTGAAAATGTTGATTTACAAAATGTTTGAAAAATATAAAATTAAACTCGATCCATTTTTTGGTGTAGAATTTGTACCGCTGGAGCTGTTCCAGATGTTATACGAAGAAAATTATGGTTAAATCCTTTAAAAAAAAAGTCAGTGCTTCATTATTAATCGGTGTTGAATATAAAAGAATTATCGAAATTTGGGACGAAGATACCCGAAATCGTTTACAGTGCAATTTTTTTCATATTGCTTCACACGATTTAGCATGGAGAGGAGGGGATGGAATTTCTACTCGCATTTAATATTTCAAAGAAGAAAATGATAAAATGACTATAACCCAATTTTCTCCAAAACTACACAATTTACTTCAAAAAGATAGGCAGATAGTAAACGGTTAATTATAAATTCGAACGATCCTCAAATATACCCTTACTGTCAGTAAATTTATCATAAAAAGAGCAAATCACATTAATACCGACATATTGTTTTTAACTCTAAATCTAAACTGGAAGGAAACAAATTTAAGAAAATGGTATAGTCTTTCCGATCTCAATTGAAGACCAAAGAGCTTGACTGTATGTACCAGAATCGGTCGCTAAGCAACAATTTGGCATTGAAATATTTGAAAAACTTGTTCCCATATTTATTTAGCCACACATCCATATGCAGGTCCGGTCGCTCAGTTGAAGAATGCGCACGCGGGCAAACGGCAAACAAACATAGCCGGACTGGGCGACCACCCATAAATTTCAGTTGTCGACAAATTGCCTAGCAGTGCAGTGCAGCAATGCGGAATTTGGTGTGATTCAGGTAATTCTAATTTATTATAGGCACCTCCTATTAATCGTTCATATTACAATTGCGAAAGGGAGAAATCAGAGGGATATTTGGTTTATTAATATTATTACAACATGGCATTTTGGAGACCTTTTGAAACGGGAACAAAACGAAATACCGCCAGACAATATTGAATTAGTAGAACCAATTGTTGATGAAACAGACTTAGAATGTAAAAATAAAGATTTACATGTTCAATGTCAGTGACTCATTTTAAATATTTACGATTGTTTAAAAAAGGAAGAAAATAAAAAACTAGATAATGAAATTATAAATAGATTATGTGAATACATATTAACTAAATTTTTCGTGTTAATAAACAAAAATTTAAAAATATCGATGACATGACGAGAGACGTAATTCGGCGGACAATTTATAATTTATGTAAAGAAAATTGAGGACATAAATAATTAAAATAATATTATGTTGTTGGCCAAATAAACATAGAGTAGAAATTTTCTATACATTATGTTTAAATTTTTATTATTTTTTGCCTTTAGCAGAAAACTTTTTTAAGGGACGCCCATGAAACTCATTAAATTTTATTGCTAGGCGTTTTTACACTGACTTCGGAAAAACTTTACAAGAACTGCCTAGATGGGGAGAATATTATGTATTTGTGGTTTAAATCCGCAGTTTCTGATACAGGAATTGACACAAAAAAATTAGAGTTGGAGAAGTTCAACTTATTAAAATTATAGGACACAGTAACAACCAATCAATGACTTACTAACATTTGGATGTGGCCCATCATAGAGAGATGATTGCAATCATAACAGAAACTACATCTAACACCAGTAGTAGGTGTTAACCAATCAACTCAAACCAACCCACAATTGTTTATAATAACGCTTTTTTAATGTTGCTAATAATAATCATAAGAAGTAATTTTAACATATTTAACATATTATTATATGTATATATTAATTTGTTTATTGTGGAAATTATTTCATGTAACAAATTTTTAACAACTAATTAGTAGTCAATAAAGAAATTTTACTAATGTTATTTGACCAAAATAATAATACCTATCTTACGTGGGTATTTTTATATACATTTCAAATAAAATTAGAACCATATATTAGCGTTTGAAAAAAATTATAATGAAGAAGCTGAATATATTATTTATATTTGCAACTTATATTTTATATTGTACCAAATATGTAGAATTTTAGAAGAAAATAAATGAATTACTCGTAGAATGTCAGTGTAATTTAATCCAGAGTACTCACCAAGAGAAAACTTTTCGAATATTATTTCTTCATTACCATGGAAAGGTTTTAAAGTAACATCATTTGATTGGACACAATATAGAGGTGTGAAATTTTTCTTCTAAAAAACATAATCTTGTTTTGAAGCCCTCTGGAAGAAACTTAGTTATAAGATTTTTTTATACAGAATTTTTATATATTTTTACCTGTTTTCGACATATTATCAACTGAAAATTATTCCTGAAATTTTAGGTCTTGGAAAAACGACGGAAAAAAAGAAACGAAAAACGAATATAGTTATAGAAACGTTTATTTAAATTTTTTCTTCGAAATAAGTGTATCTAATGAGTCAAAACTATATTAATAAAGACCTTATTTCTCATTAGACAACTGTCAAAATAATTTGTTTTTTTATCCACTATCTCAAGTACATCTGTTGTAATCCTTTATACCAATTAATGATATGTAAAAATAAGTTTTTTATTCAGAAATAATTTTGTTTCTGTTATTCAGGTGGGTAATAATGTAACAATTGAATTATTCACACTTCTTTGATGTATAATAACAGAATAAATTTGCAAATAATTCTTTCGTAATAACCGCAAATTATGTACATACTAAATGAAGAGACTTCGTAACAATTATACTCTTAAAGCTAGAAAATATATAAAAAGTATTTTGTAAAATATGCATAGTTCTGTAATAAGTTAGCATGTTTGTGATTCACATTTAGAAAAATAGACAGATTTCATTTTCTAAAAAGAAATACGCTTTGTACTAATTAAGATGACAGAGGCACACAAAGAACAAAATGTAGTCTGTTCCAAAAATTAGACCTCGGTTTGGAAGCATCAGGTGACTGAAAATAACTTCACAGGACCATGAGTATACAGGGTGTTTCTAAAATAGGGTTCCAGACTTCTGCTGCGTTTATAACTCATTAAAATGAGCCAAAAAGTTCATATTAACATGTGCCCTAAAACGCACCCTTAGGAAGTTATATGCCCTTAAAAGGGCTCAAACAAAACTGTTTTTTTTCTGTTATTGACAAAACGGTCGCAAATAAATAGAAAAAAATGTATGGGTCTCACATAACTTTTCACGTTAAATAACATGGGCTACTCCGTTTTTCGACATGCAAATCATATGCGTTCCATTTAGGTTCGTGAAGGAGGTGTTCGGCCCGTAATTTTTTTTATTTCAATTTTTTTACAATTTTCTCTACAGATTTATAAAATCTTAACAATTTTACGTAAAAAATATTATCTTTGTCCAAATCGATATTTCCAATGGTTTTCGAGTAAATTGAGTTTGAAAATTACTCTGCTCTTTAAGTTATTAGGCCAAAAATTACAAAAATCTGTTTACCATGGCAAATAAAAGACTGACGTTGCCACAACGCTTAACAATTTATGTTATTGATGAACTATCAATTTATTAAATGATCGGATCCTTCATAACTGCAATTTATTTGAAAAAAAAAACAGTTTTGTTTGAACCCTTTTAAGGGCATATAACTTTCTAAGGGTGCGTTTTAGGGCACATGTTAATTGGAACTTTTTGGCTTATTTTAATGAGTTATAAACGCAACAGAAGTTTGGAACCCTATTTTAGAAACACCCTGTATGTATTTTGATCAATCCAAATCAGTATTCAGAATTGCTCCATCACTTCCCAGTTTTGTTTAAATCGCCGAAAAACCACCATTAAATACGGAAAGTTCGACGATTTATCGCCTAAATTCTCGACTTCATTAGAAATTTAAAGAAGAACGAAGGAAAAAAGGAACTGCTTTGTGTATTTTGTTTCCACCAACCAAAAATGAATGAAATTTTAAGACGTATTTGTACTGTCAAACATGCTAATCTACTAGAGGGAATTATAGGTGAAGCTCGATTCCTAGTTTTGAAAAATAGAATTTTCCATATTTTCTGTTTTTCGTCATTTAAAAAAAAATGGGGGATGATGGAGCAGTTCTAGCCGCGGGTTTAGATTTAGCGCATCAAAATACATAGGGTCTAGTCTTTGGAACAGTTCATATTCCTTTTTTGTGTCCCTGTGTATTTTATATAAACAAATGTGTGAGCACGTTTCTAATAATAGACACAGTGTATCTGCTTTGGTTTTAAATTCATATAATTCAGGAAATGTAAATTTATCATTCTGCAACCAATTCGTAGAAAATAAATCCACGTATGCGTTGTGGAATTCTGCTGATAATTCATTACTCAGCTAATTATAAGTACAACAGTATTCTAATTTTTTCTGTTCAGTAATTCAAGTAAGTTTCAATATAATCCAACCGAACTGACTTTAAATGAACCAATTTGTTGTAAATACATAAAGTGAAAAACTCAGCAACAAGTGAATTTTGTTATCTGTTTGAACTAACAGAAACTGATCATGAAATTGTACAATAATGAAATGCATGAATATGTTTTTCAGTACAAATAAATATTTTAATCACTACAATAAATATCGATGTCTTTCTATATACTTTTTCTCAGTCACATTCTCGGTGGGGGTCCATTAGAAGGGACTCTGATTCCAAACTGTGGCACGATCGTCGATGACGGAAGACATTTCAGAAGAATCATGCATTTAAGTGGAGTGGCCACACCAACGCAGTGCGCGCCAATGGTGCGAATGCAGACTTTTACTATCTGAAATGAAATGATAAGGTTAAAATGAAAAATATCAAAAGTTTATATCATCTAAAAATACTAGTTTTAAATCTTTAGTTATATCTGAAACGTCAAGGAATACCTTATTATACAGAGTGTTTCTTAAATAAGTGCGTTTCTTGAAAAGGGTGTTAGGGGGCACGAAAATAAACAATTTTTATTATGCAACTGATAGTCTAAATGCTTCTGTTTTCGAGAAAATTAATTAAGAAAATTAACCATAAATGTAACACGACCCTGTGCATCTTCTGCACGTGCACGTCCAGAATGCTTCGTGCCCTCTATCACCCTTTTCAAGGAATGCACTTATTTCAGAAACACCCTGTATACACAGAGAGATTTCTAAATATTTGCATTAAACTGAAACAGGAATTTTTAAATGTCATTTTAAAAACAAAATTCCATGTAGGGGATTTTACTTTAATAACAAAGGGAGTTACAGGTTCCAAATGAAACTCGACATAGGTCATTAATTAATTAATTAATTTATTAATTAACTACAACAATCTCAAGATGGAATCGTAAGATTTTAACATTGGAAATGTTTAATGAATTGGTAGTGCCACGCCAGATGTTAGAAAAATGTACGTGTTTATAGGTGGTATAATTTCAGCGTAACAAATTTTCTGTCGTCGTTTCTGTCTAACCGCTGGGCGCAGGGTTGGTTCTGTCGGAGAGATTTTGGCGTTTCGATGTAGGTCAACCTTTCTGGGTCAAATAGAAGTGATCCAGGCTTTCCATGATTACGGGGGTGGCGGTATAATGTCTAAGTTCATTTCGATTGTGTCATTGGTACTAAATTTTGTATTTTTTTTCCTAAAAATAAAATTCATATATTTTTAAAATAACGACAGAAATTGTTTTTGTGAAAATAATTTTAAATTTAAACATGTTATGCACAGAAAAGAATCAGATTTACAGATCGATAATATATTTGCATTACCTAAAATATAAGTTTATTAAGAAACAGGGGGTACTACGTAATACTTTTAGGAAGAAAAATCTATGCATTATTGCGTTGTATCATTTCTTCTACGTACCTAAATGAAGGAAAAATAACAAAATAAATTTAACAACATTTATTAATGCAGTAATTAACAAATTTCCTGGAAAAATTTTTTAATTGCAATACATAAAAAACAAATATTACAGAATATTGTTTAAACTAATTAATGGAATAACATTCTTAAGGTACTATTACAATGAAAAACTAGGCACAATAGGTTTATATTATCTAACAAACTAATCACTAACAAAGACAGTAATACTTAAAAATANTGAAATAAACAAATTATTTGTAGTGAAAAATAAAGTTTTTTTAAAAAAAGTTAAAAGTGATCCAAGTGATCTAACATATATATATACATCCCGCTATCATTATTGCAACATTACATTCAGTATACCTTATTGCACATCGAGAACCGCTGTATTTAGAGTAAATTTTTACGTGAATACTGATTCAGCTCATTTTTTGCAGCCCCTGTATATAATTTACATATTTCTATCTTTAAAAATAAAAATGTGTGTCCTTTTCGTTAAACGTACTTTGTGAGATCCGTTCGGTTAGCTAACTTTGTGACAGCCATTGCCGACTTTATTGCGGCCGGCTTGTATATTAATTTTTAATCCACACATATTATTGCAGCCAACAGTGTTGCCAAATTTCTTATCAGAGAAAGACCATTACTGATTTAAAATTCAGATTTCGAGTAGTTTCGCAAGTGTAAGAGTTGACTTTCGGAAAGTTTTTTATATGAGTACAATTTCCTACACGTAAAATTAAAGTAATTAAATTATACTTACCTGAGAATATTGGTCCAATTTCTGATAATCTGATTTTTATTATTTTAAAAAAAAAAATGTTGCTATCATGTGGTATAAAATTATTTCATAGAATGTAATTTATAAAAAAACTGGTGAAATGAATTTGTCGCCACTTAAATATAAATAAAAAAATAAATAATTTAATAGCAGTTTTTCAAGAAAATTGTTGCTGGTATAAAATGATTTAATAGGTTACAATTTGTTACTTATAAACCATAAACTTAAAAAAAATACTCATTAAGAGATTTAAGAGATGTGCAGCTCCATAAAAATTATAGTTTTTTTATTTTCATCATCAATTTTTTTTAATAACATGTATAAGTTATCAAAAATAACAGTAAAACAAATAAATAAAATATTCATAAAATAAATAAATAAAATATTATTCATGACAGTGTGTCAGGAAAATCTTCAATTAGCATATCTGGAAAAGTAAATTGACTGGTATTTTAAAAATTTGTGTACGATAAATATTTGTCATATTCTTCTACGGATTAATATTATGACGTTGGTATGTTTCTGGTTGTACCAAAAGTAAACATCTACTCTCTTATTTCAAACTACCATTTTTTATTTCAATTTTAAATTGTATGTACAGGGTGATTCACTATATTTTGACCCCCTTTAACTTTTTTGTTTTAAAAGTAGTAAAAAAATGTGAAATACAAAAGTTGCACGATTTTTTATGAGGTTTATAAAGATATATAGTTTATTTTTTAAATTTGTGAAACAATTTTTACACTCAGTAGACTCTTATCTCATTTAATTTTTAATCTAGAAAGCTCAAATTTTATCTGAAAAATATATTATTATATTAATGTATTTAAAAAGCAGGAATATCAGAAAGTAGGTGCAAGTTATACATTGTGTAAAAAAATAACTAACCAATTCTTACAAATTAAAAACCCAATAACTCGGCTAATTTAAATTACCTAAGCAATTATTAGGCCTGGAATTTGTGGGATTTGGTAGGTCATTTTATGACGCTCTGTATAACTTTCTGATATTTCAGATATTTGGATACATTTTTATATTATTAAGTTAAAATTTCAACATTCTAGATTAAAGGATTACAAGATAACATTTTTCGAATAGTCAAAATATCTAGAAAACAATTAAGTTTAAGTATACTATAAAACCTTAAGATTTGATGTACAATAAAAAAAAATAAACAAAAATTTGTATATTCTATACATATATTTAAAAACAAAAAATAAAATGTACATTTACTTTTTCTTCACATATTCATTCTGAATAAACACCTTAATTTTTAGCCAAGATTTATTTGCAAAAATATTTTCGTTTGTATTAATTAGCTGTTCACATTCTAATCTTTTTGGTGGAATCTTCTTTCGAATGTGATCAGCAAAAAAGTCTTTGGCTATTGTTTTTTGCTCTTTGGTCCACGGTATTAATATTCTTTTCTTTCTTTTTTTTGGCTCCAAAGGTTCTTCGACGGGGATAGATTCTATGCTAGAAGATGCTGTAGAAGCTATTGCATCGCAAATTGCATCCTCTTGGTTAGTATCTTCTTCGTCACTTTCATCGGAGGAAGCTTCAGAAAGGATCTCTTCGTCCATATTTATGTCAACATCATCCAAGGTTTTACCTTTAAATTGTGCGGCACCACCTTTTTCCATCAACAAAAGTAATTTTGATATCTTTGCCGTTTGATAAATATCATCTGGTAATCTATAAGAATTTCTATGTACGCCTATTGTATGGCCCATGAAAGTCGCCAGTTGATCTATTTCATTGTCATTCATGACTAGAAGCTGACTGAGTGTTGCAAGATGCTTTCTAAGGCGAGTTGCCGTAAGAGCTGAAGGGTTTGCGGCACCACTACCTATCGCATATTTATTTAACACCTTATATCCACTTATAGTTGTTGTTTTGAAAGGTTTTCCAAATAAATACGGATTATTGGCATTTACAAAATTTGACCTAAGTTCTATCAACAGATTTATATGATTTTGCACGTCGGTAGTAAATAAAACCGGCACACCCCTCCCACGTTTACCTCTCACAATTACCCGTTTCAAACTCTTTAGTAAAATTTGTTCAGTTGCAGATACTGATGATTGAAATTCTTCATAACTTTGTTTATCTGTTGAGACAGACAAATAAGTGTGAACTAATAGTCTTTGAAGTTCTCCTGGTCTTTTGCGATTTAGCAAAATCACTCTGCAATATATAGTCTCTAGTAATGTATTAAATGCTCTAACATCTTTTGAGTTTGTTTTTAGTTTTATCACTGCATCATTTGCAGTTTTAGTAAGATATTGCTTCATTTTCTGAAGATCACTCGCTAATGGCACAATCGTTAATTTGTTCCATTTTTTCATATTTAAATTATTTGCAGCTTGACTTGATATCTCGAATCTCCAATTGGTATTGAATAAAACTATCATATTTTTTAGTCTGGCTTCAGCTTCTGCAGAAGATATGTTGTGAATTTGTTTTTTTAACACAAGAGTTAATGCTATATCACAACATTGTTTCAGTGATGTAGCTATATTCATGGCAAAAGTAGGCGAAGCAAAGGTTTCATTAATATCATCGTAATTGGCAACAGTTTTCGTTGCAATAGTAAACAAATCGAAATATTTTGGTTGTAAAGCTTCTAATAAATTATTTATTAATGGTTCCTGTTTTTTTATTTCTATTAACATTTTTGCTAATTCTCTCATTTTTCTAGACGCAACTATTACCAAATGTTTTTCCCTATGTGTTTTTACATATCTGGCACCAAACGCACAAATCAGCACATCCGTTTTTGCTACCAAACTTATCTTGTCTGGTCGCATACGAGGAAATACCTCGTCTTTCAATCTTTGATCGACGTTTTTCTGCGACACTAGCATATTTTGACCATCAGATTGCGCGTTTCCTTTAACCCCGCCACACACTTTTCGATGTCTATATAACAATTTAGAAGAAAAGAATCCGAGACAATTAGTGCATGGTAAAACGTTTCTTTCAACATTCGACGATGATCTTATTGGTTTAAATATTCCATTAGAATTTCTAAGGTAGTTGCCACGATTGCGAATTAACTTGATTAATTGTTTTCTTTCTTTATCTTTTGGTGGAAATGAAAGTATTTTTTGAACTTCAGATTCTGTACGGTGGTTTCTTATAATGTGCCTACCAAA